GTGAATCTTTCATTTTCTTCGATGAACATGGATCTGAACTCCCACACGAGCAGGCTTACAAACTCAGCGCGTTCAGTTAAGCCTGTTTCCACTCGACCGCAATTAACTGATATTTTACTTCAACCTGAATTACGATATAATACATATGTCTTCGTACTTTGAGACCCACATTAACGACCTCTCAAATCAGCGTACAAAAGATGCAACGATATTTGTGGGAGTTTATTTACCTTTTCTCGGCCGTTTTGTGTCTTTACGCGCGTACGCAAATATTTCGAAATGCACTTGAACACTCTTTTTTTTCTTTGTCAGGATGACTGATAAAGATGATGAAAAGAACGATGAATTTTAGGAGGAGTCGAAAAGTTTGTTGTATTTTATTTCCCTATTAATATATATTGTACTTCATGATTGATGTGTGGGCGAGAATGACAGTGATTGGTTGTCTTGATGAGTCAGGCATTAGATAGAATGACAGGTGTTATATATATATATATATATATATATATATATATATATATTCCCCTATCCTTATTATGTATTGACTGTTTCTTGTTGATGGACACTTATCGATTGACTGTTCCTCGTGTCGGATTTTGGTGTGAAATATATTGACATTATAGTCAGGCTAATCTCGTGTTCTTGATCTGAGTTCTGTTGAAGTCCTGTAGAATAGACACTGGGTGGGAATCTAGTGTAGATGTTCGTCTAAGGCAAATTAACGTCCCACATACGTGTAAAAAGTAAAAGGACTGTTATAACAAGAAACCCCTCCAGTTATAACTAGTATCCTCTACGTTTATAACAACTGACGACGGCATCTTTACGTTTATAACAATGATCTATTATTGTAAGGAATGACGACTATACGCTGTTAAACATGGAAAACTATCAGAAGTATTTACCAACGGCGAATTTGATGAGTTTAAAATTATGGCTGGCCACGTAGTAGCGTCATCACCACCCCACAAGGAAGAAGTGATCTGTAGCAGTAAGCGAATCCCCAAAACAAATAGTTCTGTAGGTGTTCAACATTGAATGCTTACCACTTATTGAGCTGAAGGCGCTCGGTCATGCATCCGCACCAGGTCACGAGTACTAACGACGTACCCAACAATCCCTGCAATCGTAGTCACATTAAATCAGTCGATTCACAATATGTTGATAAACAACCGAATATATCATCGAATCTCCCCGTTTCTGTCTTTTGATTTCAGTTGGTGGGTACGATTAATAATAGTAGGTGTTACTGTGTATAGCGTTGTCAGCCTCCGAATAACTTTGGCATCTTTACTACATTTTCTCGAAACCAGTAAACTCAATCACAGTCATCCATCGAGCCTACACATCTTCCTCACCGATTTCAATCTTATGTCGTTTAAGAATGACCAGTTCATATGGCTTTCTATGATGCTCGATGAATCTCAAATGCTAAACAAATTATGTTGAACACCGTCATTGATTGAACGTCATGGTGTTCAGTACACAAAGTGTGCAACACCATTCATGTAGATTGAGAAGAACATGCAAATCAGTGTCCTCCATAAATGTTTCTCAAAGACACATTCACTCCTTCACGCATACACACACCAACTAAACACCACTTATCTGAAATCATAATCCCCACTACAAAACACACAACACATTGTACATAATCCATTAATCCCAAACAAATGACCATTATGAAAAATAATCGTAAGACCCATCATATTCCGTTCCTGTCCTCATAAGGTTATCAGAAGACGGACAGTCGATGTGTCTATGAACTAGTTTTTATGTATTTAGTGAAGAACGCCATGGAGGGTGGAGTGGCTTCGGTATTAATGTGAGATCCCTGTGCACTTTCATATCTGATTGTTTGACTTCAACAAAATGTGTATTTTCAAAGTGGCTTTCTGGTTTGTCAATGAGTGATAAAACCCCTTCACTGTCGTTTCTAGTACTTTTTTATAATCTGGTCATATTCATTAGAGTATAAATACGAGTTAGTTCCTAATTCAGTCAACTGGGCAATTCAAACGAAATGTAAGTGTCGATTATTAATTGTGTGATGACATATACATAATGGTTTGATAATGTTTCATTTTCAAGTGTGGTTTGTTGTCTGCAGTTATATCTCGGTATGAATATTCGTAGAAAATAGATCACTCAACGATGTTTTACAGACTATCATTGTTTCAAAAAAGTCTTAATTTCAATTTGAACAAAACACGACTTTTGTATTTTGAAATTATTCCGATTATCGAACCTTCCTTGAACAATATTCCAACTGATATTCTGAACTCAGTGAGGTCTTAAATCCCAATTACATTGTTGAAACATTAACTGAATGCACTTAATCTATCTTAATAAGAGATGTATGCTCTAAAATAGCTACGCAAAGGTAGGAAAATTGTTACTATGAGAGTTGACAAAGGAAACACTATTGCTGTTATCAATAATTCTGATTATGAAAGATAAGTGAATGAACATCTTCATACTGGACCATATGAAAATATCATGAATAACAAATGTAGAGCCACTTTGAATAAGTGGCTGTCCTCCAAGTACCTCAGGCATTATTAAAGCGTTAGATCTATGTTTACATTCAGCTGAATTCAGTTTTCGAGGAGATTTATTCAGATAAACAGAATGTGTAGCTATGGGATCACCGGTTTCGCTAATCGTTACTAACCTATTCATGCAATCCCAATGTGTTCTGATCCACAAAAAGTTCGTTTAAGATACAAAGATGAAACTTATGTCATTATAAAACTGGATACTTTTAACGAACTATTTAAACATGTCAACAACTTTCCTGACAGAATCAAATTCATCAAGGAGTTGGAATCACCTAAACACAAATCACCTTTTCTAGACTGTTTAATTTGAAAGTATTTTCCGAAAACCAACACATTCAGGAAGTCAGCTTATCCACACTCCACTAAAGTGGCAGTGGCCAAAAATATGATCAACACAAGAGTTCAAAAACTTTTCCCTGAACCAAATGATATAGAAATAGGAATGAATTTAATTACATTCACTCTAGTTAATAACGAAGAACAAAACAGCATTAATAGTGGAAAAAGGATCAAAGAAAAAGGAATGGGTTAACAAAGTGGTGATCTAATATCGTCAAGGTATTCCAGAGGAGATCAGAAGGATCCTAAATATTCAAAATATAAGAGCATTCTTTTGAACAAACAATACTCTAAGATCAAAACTAGTAAGAATTAAAGATTCAATATACAAAGGAGAAAAACAACAGAATTGTGTCTGTGAAATCAGATGTAATGATTGTAATGCACCGTATGTATGTGAAACATCAAGGCAACTGAATTTGATGGTGAAGGAATATAAACAATGCTTAAAGCACATTCCTTAGTCCTCAGATGATGTAAGGAAACTTGAGAACAAGTCAGTGATAGCAATACACTCGATAGAATCAAGTCATACAATTGATTTCAATGGCACAAGAATCCGTCAAAAAAGCTTTCAATTCTTATGAGGAGAAACAAACAACCGAAGCCCTATACATATGGGCTAATTTAAACGGTAATAATAAGAGAGATGAAATACAATAAGCCGTACCATGGCAACTAATCATTAATAAGTAAAAACCTGAACTCCTTTTTTATCTATCTCGTATTATCTGATCGACAACAATTACATTCAATGATTTAAATCAGTTGTCTTATCTGAATTTCAATAGTTGAGATCATGAGTCAGTTGAAGCTAGACCACCAAGGAAAACAAGGAAGCACTGGATGGCCGTTTCGTATGTTTACACGAGGAAGAAGAAACGGCCGTTCAGTGCTTCCAGGTTTTCCATGGTGGTCTAGCTCCAACTGACTCATGATCTCAATTGTACAAAATTACTAAAATCTCTACAAAACCCCCTTCTGACAATTTGAAGAGTCTGATGTTATGCACTTTGGAACGGATATTTTTCACATGTCTGTTAATTGAAAAAATGTTAATTTTCTATCTTTTTTAAACTCGTGCTCTATCACTCACCTTCATTTCATATGGTTACTCAAAACTAACTCAATCTCCTACACCTTCATGTTCGACTCTTGATATTGCCCATTCTGATAAGATGTGGATCACGACTATATCATCTGTAAAGTAGTTACAGGGAATTCTAGACTGTCGAGTCTTCAATTCAAGACAAATGATACATCAACACTCATAAACTTCAGTTAGTCATTTTATAAACCACCGTTCCAAATGTCTTCTGATGTTAGTTAATTGATAGATATGATCTCCTGAAAGTTTACCACGTACTTATTTGCCCTTCAGTTAATAGCTTATGTAAGAATTAGCAATGCAGAGATAACCCATAACGACATTATTTTTAACTCATTACACCACTCTTCAACACATTCTCTCTCCTTGTCGTTAGATATTTATAGAGTAAATGATGACCAAGCTAATTTATTTCATTTTCCTTTCATATATTCATATATGATTTCATAAATTCATTTGTTTGATTGATTAACACAAACACAATGACTCGCTATACTCCACAATAGTCCATTCAAATTACTTGTTCTATCGGATAGCTTATTTTTACTCACATTTGTCCACCGATAATCCCACACATTGGGTTACCAAATGAATAGAACTAATGGCCAACTCTACAGCTTAGAATATTTACCGCAAAGTCAGAGTACATGCACTCTAGCACAAAGTCAGGTGCATGCCAGGCAGCAAATCCATGAATAGCAAGTCAAACTGGGTCGCTTCATCAGTGTAACACGTTTGAAAAAGGGAAAATATGGTGGCGGATTTGCATCCGTATACCATACTATTCTCTTTGAACCTAACACAAAACAATGCCGTCATACATTTTTCATGAATGCCGGAGAAGTTCACCTATCAAAGGATATTATTTTGATAAAGTAAATGTGTTGATTATGTTTTGATAAAACGATGTTTGGTGATAATATACACCTCAATCGAATTACACTTCAGTTAATTGATACTTATTAACTCATCAATTTTTCTATTTAGATAATATGTTCACGGTGCTAACAATAGTTTCGGGAGTAGCCATCCTCACTCTAAACTGTGTGATGTGTTTGGATAATGGATTGGCTAGAACACCACCAATGGGGTGGAACACATGGCGACATCTTGGATGTCAAGTAAACTGCAACAACACTCAAATCAACTGTCTTAATGAAAATGCAATCAAGCGAACAGCTGATAAGCTGGTTTCGGATGGTTGGCGAGATCTGGGTTATAAATATGTGATACTTGATGATTGTTGGTTAGCGAAACAGCGTGATCCGAAGACGAATAAAATAATGGCAGATCCTTCAAGATTTCCCAGTGTAAGTTGATCTATATCATTTAATATAAAATGTCCACAACTTGTGTATTCTGTTTGAGCAATATAAAACTATACAAATCACTTTCATTAGACTGTTAAGCTAATTGTAATCTTCTTCTTCAGTAATAATTTTCCTGTGTGATTTACAACGTCAGTGTACTGATCATGAAAGACATATCATAGTTTTCCTTGTGTGAATCAATATGTTACAGTAGATATGTCAGTTATGGCTTATTTTCGACTTCCTTTTATCTTTGTCAACTTTCACTTTATGGTACCTTTTTAATTCGTATATTCTTAAACCTCTAAAACATATTTCGTTTCCAGGGTATTAAAAGCCTTACAGAATATCTGCACTCCAAAGATCTTCTACTCGGTATAACTCTTGGTTACGGGAGCATGACATGTTCCGGTTATCCAGGAAGTATCAATCATTTGGAATTGGATGCAAAATCAGTGGCCGAGTGGGGAGTAGATTATGTAAAGATGCATGCATGCCACTGTGCTCAGAATACTGAACCAGATGGTTTTGAAAAATTCAGTAGATTACTTAATGTAACTGGTAGACCTGTAACGCTTTTGTGTACTTATCCAGCATATAGCTATTGGCTTTCAAATCACAATTTGATGGACTGGGAAAGATTACAAAATAACTGTAATTTGTGGCGAGTGTCATCCAACGTGCAAAGCAATTGGGGATCTATAATCAGTATCATAAATGGATACAAACTTCGCAACGATGTTTTACCGAAAGTGGCTGGTCCAGGACACTGGAACGATCCCGATATGTTGGTCTTAGGAAACAACGGACTTTCCAATGATCAAAAGCGAGTTCATATGGGCATGTGGTGTATGTTCGCTGCTCCACTACTCATCTCAGCTGACATGAACAATGTGGATCAATTCAGTGCATCTCTGTTACGTAACAAACATTTGTTGCGGATAGATCAGGATGAAGGTGGACATCAGGCGGAATTTGTCAAATCGCGAAATGATGTGCAGGTGAGTTGATTGCATTAGATTGAAATTCTTATACATAAGTGTTGAGATACTTTTGTTTCCGTCACAAAGTTTTTTTCTATAAAATGAATGAGTAACTACTTATTTTAGGTTCTCTATTCATATTCTAAGATGTCCAACACCATACATTTAATTATGCAGTCATTCTTTCCGTTAGTTGTTCTTCAACAAGATCACAAGATGTCGTTAATATGAGTATTAGTTACTGCTGTACTGAATGATAACGAACCTTTTACATCTGCTCCAATTGAATTTACCGATTTACATGTACGTGCCAAAGCACATACATTAGAAGAACCAAGAGAAGATTACATATTCGCATTTCTGAGCATGTTCCAAAGAAACTGAAGCTGAGAATGACTAGGGCTCTCAACAGTACAATAGCTCGGTATTTACATGACACTAGACATACCATTGAAATCTCTCATGTTCCAAAGAAACTGAAGCTGAGAATGACTAGGGCTCTCAACAGTACAATAGCTCGGCATTTACATGACACTAGACATACCATTGAAATCTCTCATGCTTTTAAAATTATTAGCAAAGAAGTACGGCTGATCTCCGGTTCGCTGAAGCGATCGCAATCATAAAACCTAAACAGAATCTATGTATCCAAAAAGAGACAGTAATAAACTTATTACTACCCTAGTAATCCAATTTTTTGTGTTTTTTCTTCGTCATCAGTTTTATTTTGTCAGAATGGAGTTTCGTGAAGATTTTAGTAATTTTATTTAGTTCAGATCATGAGTCGATTGAAGCTAGACCACCATGGAAAACCTAGAAGCAATGGACGGCCGTTTTGCCCTATTGTGGGACTCCTCAGAAGTGCGCATCCACGATCCCACCTCGTGAAATTCGAACACAGATCATACCAGTCTCACGTCAGAGCACTTAACCGATAGACTACTGAGCCTGCATTTGTTTTTATTTTGGTCAATATTTAGTTTAGATTATAGTCTTCCTCCATTAACCAATTCTTAAACCACCATTCCACTAACACATTTCCGCTCACTTGTCTCTCTTAAATTATATGAACTCTCCAAATTCTATTCCGTTATTACGTAACCCATCTTCAATTCCATGAATTCTTTATTACCTCTAAAATTATCACACATTTGATCTTATTAGTCTTTGAACTCCACTCAACTTTACACCACCCACCCTTTATGCTTTCTTCATTCTAAAGCTTAACAACCTATGACCTTTCCTTGCACGTATATATATAGTTATCTTTGATAACCTTTTGTCATTCCAATCCTCTACATTCACTTATGTCAATAGTTCCAGACAATTTATTACCCCAATGCTATAATTCTAATACACATTGGGTTGTAGGTAACTGATGTGATACCACTCCATATAGTGAATTCATATTATTCTACATCAATATTTGTTCTTGCGTTATTTCAATTCATAAAGGGAACTAATTACATTATATATTTCTGTTCATACAGTTGTGGATACGAAAATTAAATAATTGTCCAAGTGGTTGGGCAATTGCTTGCATCTACACAAGAGTTGATGGAGGACCAATCAACTTTACCACAAATCTGGATGAATTCAAATCACAAATGTATACGATATCAGGAGATAAATTCGAATTATTGGATGTATTCACTGGTGATAGATTCAAAGATGTACGATTGACAGAGAATTTTACAATTCCTATCAATCCATCTGGAATAATGATGTTTCGAGTGAATCCATTGGAATTGATTTATACTGATCAATAAATTGATGGACTGTTCCCTTTTCATGGTTTCTGTTAAACTCAGTTCATTTCATTCTGATATGATTTTAACTGGACAGTTATTGAATGCACCATTACTGAATAACTAATCATTGGATAATTGTTATAAAATTTATCAATGCACACTCCATGCTTGCGGTTGCTTTCTCTTCATCACTATTTTGTTATTAATTAAATTTGATTTTATTTCATTTCGAGCATTTCCATAACCAAATAAAATATGGTACTAACCCACGGAGGACAATGGAAGATGGTCACGTAATATCATGGATTGGCTTAAATTAGACGCTAGCACCGACGTATGCCAGCTTAGTGGCTTAGAGGTTAGGCGTTAGCGCACGAGATTGAAGGTTCTGGGTTAGGATGTCCCATGTGGGATCGTGGATGAGCACAGCTGAGGAGTCCCACACTAGGACAGATATAAGTAATGCCTATCACCAAACGAAAGTGGAGTGGTTGGTAGCAGAAGGTTGGGTAGATTGAGGAGAAGAGAACGAGAACAGTGAGTGATTGATATGGAAACGAAGGAACAACGAAGTCTGAGACAACTGATTGACACCTTGTAAATGAATTATTTACTGTATAGTTCTCAGATTTTACCATAATTTTCGGCTCTCCACTGAACATAGAAGGATTATATTCACAATGATTTCTAGAGATAATGTAAAAAGCCGACTGATCTTGTCAATCATCAAAGTTCGTCGGATTATAGTAGTCTGCTTTTACATTTAAATTTAGTACCAAAATATAAAGACCTACAGTAGTAGTGACCCGCTGTTCGAAGAATAAAATAACCAGAAGTTTAAAAATAAAAGTTAAGTAATTTTAGAAGCTTAGGGAAACAATCAACTCAGTTCACGATGTTTATAATACAAAACTGATTTTGAATAAGCCACTCACTCGTTGTTTTTGTTGTTGTTGTTGTTGGTAGTGGTGGTGGTGATTAGTGCTTTAGCGGGATCACATTTGATTTGTAAAGATAAAAACATAATTTACAAATTAAATCATTAATTCCATTCTAACTGACTAATATCTTGAATTTGTTTCCATGATGATATTTTCACTACATCATTAAACTTATGGAAAACTGATATATTGAATATCCAGTTCGTGGTACATCTCAACGAATTCTACATAGCCTGAAAAATTTAGATATACAAGATGTATTACTTATATGGTTATTAATGTACGTATAGTTTATACACAGACGTTTCGTTTGTGTTTTCAGTTTTACACCATACTCAATTGTTTTACTTAAATTCTATGAAGCACTTAACGGCCGTTTCGACCCCTTGTGGGACTCCTCGGCAATGCACATCCACGATGCCGCCTCGAGAGATTCGAACCCAGGAGCTAAACATCTCGCTGGAGAGTCCTACAATAGGACGAAACGGCCGTCCAGTGCTTCCAGGTTTTCCATGGTGATCTACCTTTATTTGACTCATGATTTCTATTACTAAAATCGCCACAAAACCCCCTTCTGATAATGATCATATGCTCACTAGTGACTGGCTCCATGAGGTATTTCCTGGCGTTACAAACTACATGGGAAAACTTTAATCATAGTTATAGGTATCAATGCCAAGGTTGGATTCGATAGTTTCGAAGAAATTGAACATTAGATAGAAAGTTTTAATACTACATACAACTTATTTTGTCATATCCCAATAAGCAGAAAAATTGTATTGCATTGAAAAGAAACTGTATCAGTTCATGATTGTTTTTCTGTGTTTTATTGTCATGTTAAAGGTTATTTGTACGATTTACTAACAAAGTGTATTGGTAACACACAATTATTCATCTTCAACTAGTGTACAGTAATTATTATATACCATCCCTAGATACCATGATACTGTAATGAATAATATACATCAGTGTACTTTTGTGAAACTCCGCCTGTACCTCCTCCGAAGGCTACTGCCAGTCCCAAGCCCGGATTAAAGAGGAGGGTTGGGCATGGGGTTAGCGACCCCATCCCGTAAAAAACTAACTAGCTAAAAACCGCTAATACTTTTGTGTCTCTAAAGTGTATGTACTTGGATTGTTGAATATTTATGATCTTTTGATCCGCTGGCCAGACACTATCAGCAGCAAGCTACTGTGGGAGACAACAAACCAGATTCCAGCGAAAGAAGAAATCAGGAAGACGCGCTGGAAGTGGATAGGACACACTTTGAGGAAATCACCCAATTGCGTCACAAGACAGGCCCTCACATGAAATCCTGAAGGTCAAAGGAGAAGAGGAAGACCAAAGAACAGATTACTCCGAGAAATAGAGACAGACACTAGAAGAATGAAGAAAAACTGGAGAGAACTAGAAAAGAAGGCCCAGGACAGAGTGGTTTGGAGAATGCTGGTCGGCGGCCTATGCTCCACTGGGAGTAACAGGCGTAAGTAAATAAGTAAGTTTATATATATATATATATATATATATATATATATATATATATATACCGCATCAATGTGTAGTATCAGTTTATTTGTTAAGCCCATATACTTTATCCTAGCTACTGGCCAAGCCAATTCGCCTGTCATGAGTCATATTTTGATCTTGTTCATTATTCTCTTATTAACCTTGGCTATACTTTTATATGAGCATATATGTGTACACTTCGTATCTTATTCATCATATGTCTGTCACTCATTTTTGTCCGACTATAAATGTTGAATAACGCTTGCTTAAATCGACTTGGCTTCCCAGCCATCTCCACTGCATGTCATTTCCGCCTCGTTCACTTCATTCGCTTATTCGCCTGTTCACTCGCTCGTTATTATTCGCTCAGGTGTTGCTAACTTTCTGACCAGAGTTATTCGACAATAAACTGTAGTTGCTGCTATCCTTTGTCTTCTGATTTTACGCGCCGTTAGAATTATATCGGTTATCGAAACGAACGATTAACGAATCGCGGCACTATAAATGTTCCAATATAATTAATAGAGCCCTTAGTGGAAAAAATGACAGACAAATAATGTGAATGGAAATGAGCATAATTAATCCTATAGACATGTGAATAAGTGAACAATATATTTTAAGAATATATAGGGTTGTGGTGTATGCTACTTATGTATGTCAACATAAGTAGTATGCAAAAACAATCAGAAATGAAAAACCCTGAAAGTAGAAGGCTGAGAAGTTCGAGTTGAAGGAAATAGTAACGGAAATTGGAAGGAATCATGAACTGGAAGAATCTGTGGAGGGCCAACAATTATATCAATTCAAAAATAGCAATAAAATTATTACGTCCAAATGTGGCAAGACTATAATTTATGGACGAGCCAATCAGAAGCGTTTGAGGGATTTCAAGGTCACGACGTCAATTTCAGTGCCTAGTGCTCATGCACAATCAGTTTACAGTGGATTCTAGAGAAGACGTGATAATTAAGCGTCTACAATAAATAGGAGTACCAAGAAATTCCTTTATTTGTAATTGCAGTAATCAAATGACTTTTAGACTTTAGGCAGACTACCATGATATTGTCCTTCGATGAAATATATGTTGAAGAAAGACGTCTTCTAGAATAGCAACTTTTTTCGCCCGATCCAGATTGAGACTAAAGCAAATAATAATAATTGCCACGAACTGTATAATAAAAGCCGTAGTAACATTGACTTCAATAATCGCAGATGTTACTGAAGCTTCGGCTGTTCAGTGGTTTGAGTATTGTAGGATATATGCATGATAAAAATGACAAACTTACACAATCGGAGTACACACAAACAATATTGAAGCTATGTGGTCAATGCTGAGAGAGTTTCTGCGACCTTATCATGGCTCAAGAGACCGACTATTATGGAGCCATATGGATGAGTTTCTCTACCTTATGCATTACGATTTCAGAACCTTTGAACCTCTTACTAGACTTGATAAGTTTATGGACCAGGTAAAAGGAGTGTATCCACTTTATTTCTTTGGTTTTATATAATATATTTTTACACTATACTGACGGTTTACTGATTGGTTAATATTTCTTAAAGTCACTTAAGATTCGTTCAAAGGTCATCCATAAATTATAGAGTATTGCCTCGAAATGTTAATATTATAGTATACAAATTATAAGTTATGAACACAAATAAAAGTTAAGGGACGTTACTTAAAACAGCTGGTTGGTGCACGTTCCGTTGCGTTTGGTACCAGAATCCACAACTATAGATAATCGATAATCCCACTGAAGTTGATCTGGTTCCAATGATATCGCCAAACGTAGAATAGTAATGGAAATGTTGCTACAGTCTATAAATGTAAATGATATATGTTTCAAAGGTAATTAATCGTAACCACAAGCAACGGAGAACAATAGACGTGTGTATAGTGGTGCATTTACGAGCGTTTAACGTGTATCATGCAATGAGTAATACAGAAAGGAAAGGTTGTGGACTGAAGATCATAACACTTAAACAACATGTACAATCATTTGGTGGTAAATGTACAGACTATGACAATTAACAAAATAAATGCAAGTAATATCAATGGGAAGATTCAAACAAACAATACTAAGTGAATTTCAACTTCGCCCCATTGCACAAGCAGGTGGCTATCAGGACTTATTAGTTGAGTGGATAACACGATGGCATTTGAAGCGAAAAGTACTGGGTTCGAGTCTCAGAGTGAACATCAACAAGTCTGAGATGCAGGTAAATCCAGCTGACGAGTCTCAAATAGGACGAAGTGACGCGCGTCCTGGATTGCACTGCTAGCCACTATCCATCTTTGCTTACCATGCTTGTGAATTTACGCTATATCGAGGCAATACACACAGTATGCACATATACCAATAACAGAGACTGATCAACTGCAGTCCGAAAACATCAATAGGAAGATACAAACAAACAATACTAAGTGAATTTCAATATGGTTCTTATATTTTAGCAAGATATTCTGTAATTTTATATTGATAACAGAATGGTTTTCCTCAGCTTTTTTCTCGTTCATTACAAGGGAAAGTAATAAGTGTTCTCATGTTACCAGTGATGAATGTGACTGATAGAGGGATTCAGTTCAAAAACATCTCTTTTAGGATCTTACAGAAATTCTTGGAACTGAAGGTATTTGAATGACATCTTGTCATCCTATGTTTAACGGTATGTTAGAGCACTTGACTAAACAATACAAGGCCACATTTACTGTCTTGCATGACAAGAACGATTGGATCACTAACCTTCAAATCATAGTCGTATAGGATATCCGAAAATAACTTTATATTTGTAGATGTATTCACTGGTGATCCTTCCAGATTGGTTAGACTAACACAGAAGTTTATAATTCTTAATAATTCATAAGGAATAATAATGTATCTTGATTTGATCTCTGAAATCATTCATAATATAAACGAATCATAGATTATGTATAGTTGAAATCATGAGTCAATTGAAGCTAGACCACTGTAGAAAACCTGGAAGCACTGGACGGCCGTTTTACGAGACGGGATCGTGGATGCGCACTTCTGAGGAGTCCCACAATAGGACGAAACGCCCGTCCAGTGCTTCCAGGTCTTCTACGGTGGTCCAGCTTCAATTGACTCATGATTTCAACTATACATAAAAATTACTTAAAATCTCCACAAGAAACCCCCGAATCATAGATTAGTTGATTGATCTGATATTAATTATGATCATGTTCACATTACTATTGGTCAACAAATAATGATTGAATGAAGATATCGTGAGATTAGGAATCAAACTTCTCAGATCAACATTTATCAAGATAATTTAAAACAAACGCACCGTATCTTGTTACTATTCATCATCTGAAGTTAAGTATGTCCTATTTTAAAACTACTCAGATTCGGAGTGTTATAACTTGTGACTGAGTGGATGCCTTGTTAACGTATGATGCGATAAGACCGCCAATCAGAGAGCAGCGAATTGTCGATCGGACCAGCAATACACGAAAGCCGTACAGTCTAGAGTATGTATCGGTCCTGTTTCTGCCTAGCGAAGCTAGTTAAGTCCAGAACCGCCTTTGTGGTATGAATCATTATATTTCAAACATACTGAGTCTATATACTAATCAAACTGACCACATAGTACCATAACATAAAAATTAAGATATGTACAAAATTTAGCCAACTGCGTACAGATTCCATTCAAAACAGCGAAGACACATTGGAGCACACTTAAAGCTTTCAGCTAGGTGAGTCCATCAAAACTAATGCGGTCAGCACCAAATGTCGAAGACTTACAGAGCTATTTATTTATTCAAACACATACATAATGGTACAAAGAGGCACCAGAATACACACAAAACAATGAGAATGGGAAGAGAAAGGGGGAAGATGCGTATATATAAAAGAAAAAAGGAAATAGGATGAAAAAAAGAGAAGAGTAATGATGAGGGGGACTGAAATGTAAAACCAGAGGACTCAGTTAAGAAAGTTATAACCACCCTTTATGAAGAAAGTAAAGGAAGGTTACAACAGGATCGCCACTGGCTTCTATTCTCAGCCATATCTAATAACGTCTCTAGCCACTACGTTGCACCATCTCTCGAACTCCAACCAGGGAGTCGTAAAAGACCAACAGAAGCCAGCCCTTTGCAGCTTTTTTTCATATCACGACACCATGCCATACACTGACCACCTCTCCACTTTTTCCAACCAGTCCCAGCGTCGGCAAATATTGCACGACGTGGAATTCTCTGAGACGACATTCGTAGAACATGTCCAAGCCACCGAAGTCGGTGTTTCAAGATGTTGACACCAATTGAATAATCGTCTCTGCGCTCGAACACTCGATGCCGAACCTCTGCATTACTAACATGGTGTTGCCACCCGATGTCAGCAATCCTTCGAAGACAACGATGATCAAACACAGAGAGTCGTTCACATCCTCCACTCGGAGAGGCCAGGTTTCACAAGCATAGAGCAAAATTGCTCTCACCGACGCGTTGTAGATCCGACCTTTTACAGCCACACTAACATCACGAAGGCGCCAAAGATGGCCCAGATTGGCATAAGCCGCTCTGGCTTTCATTATACATGCATCGATCTCATCACTCACGCCACCACCAGCACTTATATAGCTACCTAGATACACGAACTTCTCAACTACTTCAATCTGCTCACCATTCAGGGTGAAGACTTACAGAGCTATTGATTTTGAGGATTTATTTACCACTACAGATTTATCGCCAATCAATAAACACACTAAAATCGACCCAATTTATCAACTTTATCCAACTTCCTTTTCAGGTCCCCTCCACGGTGTGGGCAGCCGGGAAGTGATAACTGCCCTCATACCTCTAACAGCACTGACTGAAGCTTTAAGATTCATGGTTGATGAAACCACCATATTTGTGCAAAATATTCATTCCAAACACTTTGTTTTGATATATGTCTCAGTATTTTAAAGGTTTTGTATCGCCCAAAAGAGGATGTTCAAGTGATCAGCCTCTATTAGCAAATGCACATCCTGAACGAACGACCTTAATATGGTTATTATGTCACAAGTTTGTTGAAATGATGGATTAAGGCTATCAGCAGAACGCATCAGGGACTCTATCCTACTACATGCCTCCAAGTTTGATATTCATACTGAGAATCGAAACCAATACTTTTTTGCTTCAAACAGCAACGATTAGTCTACTGAGTTAATGAGTCTAAATAGCCACTAATTTGTGCAACAGTACTGGGTTACCATCCAGGTAGATATCAAAACACATGGATCGAAACGCATTTAGCCAAGAATTCTAGAGTAGAAGGAAACACACCGTAGATCCCCACTGCTAGCAATAATCTACCTTTGATAATCCCACTATGTCTATAAAATTAAAACGCGACAATTTAACGTAAAAATTACAATTTCCTTAAAAGACAATATGTTTATTAGAGACAGTTTTGCACTGAAATGAAAGATAAATGACTATAACGCATTATTTTGACCTCCTAAATAAACATTCACGAAAAAAAACTACTCATAATCCTTTTCAATGTAAAGTGAGATTTAGTTTGCAGTAATTTTCTACAACTATATTAGTCAAGTATAAATTGGAAGAAAGTTAGGGGCGGCCAAATCAAAATGTGGCATCAGTGCTTGAAGTCACTAACTTCTAGTCTGAGCCATGTTGGTAGATACAGACTACTTGGTTGGGGTCCGCGTGACTATCGTAACCAATGGTTGGAAACTCTAGGTGACATGGCTCAGAATCGATCACAATGGCGTACGTGTTTTATTAATTTATCTAAACACACAACATTGGTACAAAGGGCACCAGATACATATGCGACACGGCGTAGGTGTATACACTCTTTATCTTCCCTTAAACCGCAAGATTAAAATTGCTCCATAACTTTCTTCCTTCCTATACTATATCCTTATATACAACCTTTCTTTTATATATTTCCACCACTAAACTAACTACTTCTATGAATCCGGTGTTCATCTTGTTGTGCTAACGAGGCATGGCAACTTGGACCGATGCATATGTATGCCTGGTCCTACATTGTAGCTGACCAACTGACTGAAGTATAGATTTCAGTCAAGCACTTATTCGAATGGAATCGATGAAGAATGTGTAACGATCCCAAATGTCATATCCCTTATATACATGAATAAAGACGAAATTATCAGGATAAGCCCAGGAGACCGCGACGAAAATATGAACAGTTCATAAGCGGCAAATGATAGCGAACAAAAGCCAGGAACAACACATAACTGAATATTTAAGAGACAAAGTGAGGTTGCAGTCTAAGAACGAAAAAAATGAAATTAATGACAAGTCTTGGGTTTCTGCGCGAAGTTCATCCATCTATATGGCTAGATAGCAGCATCCCGACATTATAATTGATGTCAGTTCGCGACGAAAACCCTAACCCCTAACTTTCAATCTTAATTTCCCATACTGATGTATAACACTGCTTTGAACTTAATAGTATTTTCTCAAGGCCACTTTGTCATCGATCAAAAACCGTTCACATATTCTAGACTGGCCGAAGATATTTGGCTCAATTGTACGATTCCGAACGACCACATACTATATCACTCATGTCGAAGCAAGTTCATATGGCGGATCCTTAGTTAAATGCTCTTGCTTAAAACTACTCGGTTGACAAAATTGAAACAGCCGACGATTGGCTAATAGCTCTGCACACAATTCAATGAGACCCAATTGTCCCACTTAGCTCAAGCTACAAAAGTGATAACTCAATTGCTAATCAGCCTGACAGATGTCTTCCCTTATTCATAAAAACTCATTTTTTTATCTAACCATCTTTGCAGTTTTATGGTAGACATGATTGATTTGAATGAGTTGTCATCTTCCACGTCGTCATCTGTTATTGCACAATACACGACTCTAGAGACAGTGGTCTGTTAGTCAGAAACACCAACTTCAGTATAGCTAATAGTTGTATCATTGGTATTTATAGGCAGAGCCATACTTTGAGCAGGATGAACTAACTCCTACTTGGTTAACGAACTGCACTAGGCTATGTTCACAGATTAATGTCTAATAATCAGAAATATGCGCTTTTAAGAACATTCCCAAATAACTGTCAATACCTACTACATTCAGTAAATATGCTGTATACTCGTAGCTTTGCTAAACTAAATTAATTTCCATTAGAAACCGATTTTCAGGAACTAGGTATGATTTCCTGATCAAAATTTACTGAATATCGTCAAGCATTACATTCCAGTTAAGCGTACTAAATACTATATTGTTCGAGTAACCATGACATAAATCCTAACGATTGCTACCAACAAAGTGACCTAGAGTACCATTGCCTCTTCAATGTAACTAACAATACAATATATGCAGAAATTATGGATAATCATAAACATGTGTTTGACAGTATTATGGTCCATACTCGGAAGTATGCGGAAGTCCATGGTCACAAGTTTAATTAACGTTATTCATATTAGTTTTTTGTGGTTGGGATTCTTTAAGGCAACTTAAAACTTGACTTTATCAATCGATGCATAAAATTACTTTGCTGAAGTAAATGTTGGTGTAATGTAATACATTATACCCCCCCTCACAACTGACACCCTATCACATATAGGCAAGTGAGTACTATAAGTGTAATATAAAAAAAGTCTACAACATGGTTGATAAAAATTAATACAAGTTTCTAATAAAATGTTTATTTTTTTTTAATTGTAAAGTATACATAAAATAATACCTCATGTTCAGTAGTTATTCCCATGACGATATCTGTAGTCTGAATAACCCTCTCCTGTAAAATACTTGAGATTAAAAGTAAAAAAACTTACCTGAATGCCCAATTGGTCCTCTTACACTTGTGCCATTGTGAAAACCGTCATATGACTGATTAAAATCTGGTCTACTTGAACCTGAATTGTAACCTACATCTTCCGCATAACTTATATCATCATATTCATATTGTTGCGGAGGAAAGGTAGCGTATTGTGATCCTTGATGGCCTCTACTATTGTGAAAAGGAGGAGATCGACGACTAGAAACTGGTGCGCTGTTGTTCTATAAATAAATAATGTAATCCTAACAGCGACTTACTATGCGAGATGGAGAAATTCCCTTAGGGGTGGATGCTAAGAAAAGTTCGATGTAACGAGGTCCAATTTTTTCACGATCTTTCTTCATTGCCTCCTTCGCTTCATCATGACTGGCAAAATCCACAATTGCCTCTCCGGTAGGTCGGTTAGCCTAAAATATGAAGAACAGAGATTTACTTATTATCAAGGCATAAGAAAAGAAAGTAACTAGGAAGTATGAAGACAACTTACAGCATTGAATCGCATCCGAATGTTGACTGGTTGTAAAGGAGAAAGGAAACGATCAATATCCTCTTTGGTTGCTGAGTATGGTAACCCTCTCATACGAACAGAATGCCCAGTCGAACTTTGAGGATCATCGTATTCGTAATGCCCAGGTGGCCCAAAATTAGATCCTTTTGAGGGAGAAGGTCCTTCGAAGCCTCTAGGAGGAGAATTGTATCCCGGGTGTCCGAAAACATGTGGTGGTCGACCATAGGGTGCATATCTTCCAGGAACTGGACCTCTGTTTGGGCCTGACCCATTTGGACTAAACGGAGGTGCATCATATCCTCCACGGGGACCTCCATGATTCCCCGCACCACCGGAATGACCATCACGACTGCCTCGACCAAACATTGGTCCTCGACCCGAACTACGGCTTTCTAAATACGTTACCTAAATTACTGTTTGGAAGCTTACGATTTATTTCCATTTGGCGCTGTATGGTCATGTTGGCCTCCATCATTGTACTTTCAAATATTTCAATGTATCTGAAAAAAGAACAACTATGATGAAGTGGACTATCTGGAACAATAAATTTTATGAGAATTAACTGACAAGCTGTTCACTTAAGCAAATAAATATTAAGCATCCCATACGACGGACCATTACGTAAAACATTAATAATAATACCCAAACCTCCCATCCAAACCCGAAAATATGCACCTGTGCCCTATCTTCTCCATATGTTTCTCCTTTGCCCGAGCTAGACTTTCAGAAGATGTGAATTGGACATACGCTTCCCCCGTGCAACGACCCATATGATCCACCAACAACCCGATACCGTTGGGAGCTATTTCCAGGCCTGTCGATCCCAAGAATTCATAAAACCCAAGAAATTAGGAAAGGAATGAAACAAATAAAACGATCAGACGTGTTATACTAAACAATTTAGTAACAGCCTAAGATAAGCTCCTTATTTGACCAAAAGTAGCTGCAATCAGTAAAAGCGAAAAAAACAATATTATAATGGGTTTATACCTTCACAAATACATTTGGTTAACTGACAAGATATATGTGTGATATCATGATTTAGGGTTTTTAAGTTAGTTATACAGCCAGTAATAAGTAGTGGGTCAAGAAGTGGTTGTGTATTAATGCCTATTGTGCTGTCAGTCAACAAATGTAACTAACATGAAACTTATTATTAAAAACAATGATTAAATACGGACCATCTTCAGTTAAAAAAAACCATTCCAGATGATGCAGACACTACTATCCTTAATTTTTATCCATCAATTTCCTTCCATTATGCTGTTGTAGTAACTCAGACTGATATATATTTGTGCGCTCGTCTGTTTCGTTAATAAGTGATTGATAGTCACTCTGATAAAATCCAATAATATCTCGTTTAATACATGTTTACCCTACCTTTTCCAGCAGATCTTGAGAGTCGGATGGTTATCGGTCTTTGATTACGCTTTACTGACCTTCCCACTGGTTGCAAATGACATGAAAACGTATAATCCGTTCCTCGCGCTTGTTTTTATTTTAGATTTTACTGTGCGTTCTAAGTAATTTGTTTTCGCTTCCAAGTTTAAAAAATACCGGTTGTATTAATGGTTTACAAGTATGTTAGTTTTTAGCCTTAGGTAAGTTATTTATAATGTACTGAAAGATATTCAAATGTCGTAGGTACAACTACCGGTAATTATCTTAGAAAGATTGTACCTAACTATCACAGCTGTCAGACTGTGCTTGTAAGGAATTATTAAGAATTCTTAGTTGTAGTTGACCTTTTACACAAAACACTTAAGTTGTTTCTGTCCAAAATGAGAGAATCCTCTTTACACCATGGCGTTCGCATTCTTGACATGAATTTCATGAGCATGACCAAACTACTAACCCATCCAGCAAGTGTAAGACTATTTCTTTGAATTATAAATGATAGACATTTCCTGCTTACTATGACTTAGTGACATATACATTTCGTTGTCGAACTCCATTACGGATACTCAGGTTTGAGAAAAAAATATTACTGATTTCCAAATCAAAAATATTTATTTTTAGGTCACTTAAGCTGTGACCTGGCACTATATTGTATTACTCTTATCAATCGGAATCTTTTGAAATCTACAAACAATCGACTCCGTGGGCTGTTTCCTTCCAGCAATCGTAATAACACATCAATAAAAGTGAACTTTTTATTAATTTTCTAGCTTCTAACATGAAAATTCTTGAAAACTGTACCATAAAGTAATTTCTCATTTGGATATAAAGGCAAAAAATATTTACTCGGTATAATAAGACCTTCGAACTACCTGTTTGTGACTGCTTTCACTAAGTCTCAGTTTGTTGCAAAACTAAGGTCAATGTGAACTTTATCAGTACTTTCTAGAGTTGCTAAAATATTTTATATCAGAATGTGGGATTTTGGACATTGATTAATATTGGATTGCTTGATGGCTGACAACCAAAAGCATAACACGACTACAGATTTCGTGACTAAAAACCATTGTGAGCTGTAACGTAGCAAACCTAGATGAGCAGACATGCATCAGACCAAAGTACTCTAACGGCCGAGAGATTCGTCACAGACACATTAGAGTTAGGTTTTCTGATTAACTAAAGTGCGGTTAGATATACAAAATGTTTGTCATTATGCTAAGAGTATCTGGAGATTGACATGCCATTTAAACTCATACGATCAGTTGAATTACCAGAAATAAAAAATGCTATCTTATGACAGCAATCACACTCTTTCAGTGTGAGTACGACAAGCCTAAATACGACCTTTCCCGTTGACATATAAGTAGTAATGGTTTCTAGAATTTATTTATCTGAACATAAATATTGGTACAAACGAACAGCGAATACATATGCGCCAGACAAGAAGTTTCATTTGGTTTGTGTGTGGACTGTGATGCTACCCGAAGACTCCCCACGCTCGGCAGTACCAGGGTATTTGGGAGCAGTTTTTGGAAAGCTCGTTCTGCATAAAGGCAAAGGATCCCACTGTTTAAAGATTACCATAACTCAGAGAGGAATTAGCTATACACAAAACGTTGGATAACACTGAATTTGTTGGCTGATAAATGTGGTGATTAAATCTGTTTAAGAGCACACATTACAGATCGCAGGAACGGCTAATATGCAACATTTAAAACTACGAAATGCTATAAAGAAAGACATCAGCTACATAAAGGCAAACAGAGATAGCGAAGTATTTTGGTGGACGGAACAGAAAACTTTAGGTTTTAAACGGCGTTTTGCGCATATATGCTAGGGATCAAGCTTTGGTGCTCAAGCATTAAGCGAATCTAACTACCAAACTCTCTAACCACAAACGTATCGAAGTATATATTAAGGTGGTCAGTAAAACACTACTAACAAGTGCGTTAGCAAAACTTCCGGAGTCCAAGAAACAACTATATGTAGTGTAAAATAAAGAAAAGTATGGTCGATACCTACTTTAATTACATGAAGACTTACATGATGCTATCTACAATGATACAAATGAAAATACTAGATTGCTCACTTAGGGTGCCTTAAATCGAAGGTCATTACTACGTCATTACTACTAATATGCAATAATTTGATACCACAAGCATAACTTGGCGATGCAATGAATATTGAAGTTGTATAGCGACTGTGTAAAATGCTTTAGTCGGAGACTTAATGAAAAATTATCAAAACACCATACTTGTATAAAGTTGTAAGTGTGTGGGTTAAGAAAACACAGTTCTTGGTCTTGAGAAGATAACTGCATATATGTAAAGAAATAACAGCAAAATGTGCGAGATACATTGTGTAAGTTTTAGAAACTAACGAGATGAGACCAAATCAAGGAAACTTTCGTGAAAGCTCTTTTTACGGAGTTGAAGATACTGCAGACTAGATAAACATAGTGAAATTACAATCCACTGCTAGCTACTACAAACCGATACAGCTAAACAAACCGTAAACAAGTACACACATCACGCATTTAAATTATTTACGTAGTTATTGGTTTGGGTCAATAGTGAAGCACCCAAACGCTTGCGCGATTTGCACGTGAACTCTACTAGGAGAAAAGCATGGCAAGATATGGTCTATTTGGAAACTACCCTAACACAAAACACCAAAATGCCTACACTAATCGTCATCGCATGAATCTAAGTTGACAAAAGTATTTTGTCAAAAATTAACACATTTTAGACTAAGAAGTTACTAGTAAGAATAAGCGACGATGTTATAATTTACAGAAACTAGTTTCGGATTTTGATGCGAAATTTATTCACCCATTTAGCTAAATAGCGTCTTAGCATTTTCGCCAATGTTGGTTTGTGATGAGAACCATAAATCTAATTTCTAACACTGATCATCAATTGTAAACCATAATCCTAATACTTTACACTGTTTTCTAGTCCTTTTTAGCCCTATCAAGTAGGTGGACATTCTCATGGCTACCCAGCGTTGCTCAAAGGTTGTCTATATATTAGTCTCTTCGAATTTGTTTATCAAGTACCATTAAAAAGGTTAACGATAGAAACTGCTCTAACGAAAGCCAATAACTACTCCTTTGCAAATACCCATTTATGTTACCTGTCTACAATAAATTCTATGTAAGCTACAAAGGATCTGATTGAAAAACCTTACCTTTTAGTATATGATACAAAATGGATAATAATACATACTATTAATAGTTACTTACCGTTAAAAAAGGCAAATATCTCTTTTTTCTCAGTATCGTACGGAAGACCACGTAACCTAACAACATGCTCCCTTCGATTTGACGAATGATAAGGTCTGCATCCCATAGCGTTATTCAAATCTTCAGAGCATGAGTCAAATACTTTCCAGGTTATTGAGTAGTCGTGAGTTACCTTCAATATAGCGGCGGCCCAAATGTTGATTATGGTGTGCCATGGCCTTTTGCTTATCATCTTTACTTTCCAGTTCGATGAAAGCCTCACCATTAGAACGGCCATTAGACCCCTGAGGAAAATATATACCACGCTTTCCACCTCTTATCCTGCAATCTACAAGAGATTAAAACATGGACAACGCGAATACCGTGGAAAAAACTGATGATATCATCCGCATTCGCTGAGAACGGAAGACCTCTAATACGGACAACAAAACACATTGCAAGCCTGCAAGCTAGCTTTGCAATATGGCGCGGCACAACTACCAGACCTTGACATATTTAAACACATTTCAGACATCAGTAGGAAGAATGAAATGTCAATCGATCTATAATAATCCTTGCGACTTGTAGTACTGAGAAGATCGAATATTGCTCCGGGTTTATTAAGGCTTTTACTGATATTATGTGTTCTGGTAGCGAATTGGAGTAATTCACTACTTGATATGAAAAACGAGGTCCCAGAAGTAAACAGTTTGACCTCTCTTTTTGAATTTTCTTAGTACATCCTCTCAACTTAACACTGAAGGGAGGAGATAGGGTATATTATTTCAAAGGTAATTGTTCAGTATACGGTATGTCAGAATTAAATCACTCAGAAACCTGTATATGATAACGGAAATAGGCAGAAGCGTCTAGGGTCGACTTCATAAGATAGGCCAGTTTTGACCCGTCACCGTTGAACACGTTCTAGCATATCTCTTTTATACTTGGTACAAGGAATCACTGCTTGGATCCCATATTCCAAACACGGACTCTTAAAAGTCGAATATTATACTCTAAACATTTCTTCTCCTGGACAATGAAATGACTTAAAAATAGCCCATGAGACCCTGAGGCTTTTGGTAATGTTAGTCTTACAGTTACTCATAGTTCTAGGTTCGTAGCCTATCATGACTCCCAGATCTATTACTTTAGGTAATACAATCTCACTTATTGTGTGATGATATGGATCGTCGCAGTTATTTATTCGTATTGCCACACACTTCTTGAAATTAACTATTCATGACCTGCTAGGCA